TATGATGATGAGGACATCATTTTTGGTGTTAGTTCTAGGAGGTGTTGTAGGTCTTTATCGAACCGGTCCACTTCACCCTCTTCTGCATCAGTGGTTGGGGCATAGACTTGGATTACTGTGATGTTGAATGGTTTGCCTTGGAATCGGACCGAAATCATTCTGTCATTTTTGAGATTGTATCCCAGTACTGACTTTTGCACTCTCTTATTGACTATAAAGGCCACACCATTTTTTCAACGAGATTCCTGGCCACAGTAGTAGATATAATGGTCTTCTGAGTTAAATTCGCCCATTCCTGTCCACTTTAGTTCACTGATTCCTAAGATATCGATGTTCAGTCTTGCCATCTCATTTTTGACCACATCAAGCTTACCTTGATTTATAGATCTTACATTCCAGGTTCCTATGTAGTATTGTTCTTTGCAGCATCGGACTTTCCTTTCACCATCAGACACATCCACAACTGAGCGTCCTTTCGGCTTTGGCCCAGCCACTTCACTCTTACTGGGGTTACTTGTACTTGCCCTCTGCTCTTCCCCAGTAGCATATTGGACACCTTCCGACCTGAGGGGCTCATCTTCTGGCGTCATAACTTTTAGCCTTTGAACCTAGCATAATTCCTCCCTCTTCACCCATACAAAGCCAGCACAGGGTCAGCCGTGTTGGTCAATGTATAGGAATTGGTAGCTTGTGTCCACCGCTTGTCAGTATTCATAAGAAGAGCCCCACTAGGCCAGCACAACGATCTGTCCAGGCCAGCGTCCTATTGGTTGTGGCCAGCCAGATTCCTCTAGGAAGTCTACAGGCAGAGAATGAAAGCAACAGCCTTCCGCTGCTTCTTCCTGGCATCTGGTAGTCTGAGGCAGACTGATCCCATGACTGTTTTGTTACACAGCCCAGTGCATACCTGTTGTGTGACTCATTTCCACTGTGGTCCAGTTTAATCATCAGGTGTCGGAGTAAAAAGTTTTCTTCTCTTCCCATATGTTTACTACTAAACCCACAGAGGAACGTGCTTCTTTTTCTCTGATTCACCTTTTGGAATGCTGCCACTAGTATTGTGCTACTTATGATTGAATTTGCAGTCTTGTGACTTTTGTGTTTTTTTCCTCATATGTTGTTGCTCCTTGAGCAGCTTTCTCTGACTTCTCTTTTGAGTGACTCACATGAGCCTGTGCTCTTAATTGTTCACATAAATTGGGGGGGGGGGGAGTGTAAACCCAAGGTAACAATACTCAGCATGGGGGAACCACAAGGATGATTCAGGAGACTGGAATGCACGCTGCAGATGCCTTTTCCTTGGGTCCAAGAATGCGTCCCTGAGCCTTGCATTCCCACCTACAGTGTAATGTATCCAGTCACTAATCAGCAAAAGAGCTGACTAATAGTAGAATTACTCATGATGGTTACTGTGAATGCAGCCTTCTGAGACACGCTGCTGTTAGTGTCGTCGTTGGAATGAAGCTGAAGCGTTTCCTTTAATGTACATGCTTCCTGCTTTTCTGTGCTTCATACCATCGTTTTCGGTGAACAAACATTAAGGATTTATGTTTGTCAGGTCTGCCGAATAGAAGAGAGTTCAGCTTCAGTTCTGAGAAGCCGCTTACTACGGTCGTTCTGTGCCAGAGAGGGGATGAGAAGTTTACAACTGGTTCTGCACTGACTGAGCAAGCAACTACTGTGAAGCAAGATGCCCCTGGAGTTCAGGACCATGTGTGTCCTCCTGCCGAACCGAGAGGAGCTCAGCGTGGCTTTAGGGGTAAGCGCTTCCATGTTTCCTTCTGAGATTGCAATAGGGATTTTACAGAGACTGAATTCGGGTAGCCAATGCGAATGGTAAAGCTCAGCGTCTTAAATTTGGATTATTGACTGAGAAGTCCACTGTTCAAAAGACATTGATCACATTCAGGATAGTTGGCACTTACCTCCAAGTCTACAAGTGCCTCTTTTCTTGAATTTAATATGTTTTAGTATGTTTATTAAGCTCTGGGTTTTTTTCTTAAATCTTTTTTCAGTTTCCTCTAATGGGTTATGACACTTGAAAATTAAAAGTACTCTTGCATTTGAGTTCCCTGAAATATTCATTACACTTTGGAGTTTACCAAATAGTTTATGTTTCTAACTGTAGCACCGAGCTTTGTTGGTTTAGCTGTTGTTGATTTTGGAAGCTGTCCTTTCCATAGTTTTATTGCTTTCTTATTCTTTGGGGCAGTATAAAGTGGTGACATGTCATGCTATATCTCCATAAAAATGAAAACCTACAGTGGTGTGAACTGAAATAAAAGAATTAAGGTCTTTTCCTGTCTGCAAGGGGTAGTACGTTATAGGTAGTAATTTCTTCTGTGAAAAGCTTTAAAAAGCCCCGGCTTTCTATCCTTTTGAGACCACCTCTGTATCTGTATCGTGGGGGGGGGGGACTTACTATTTTCTTCAGATTTGTGTGATGGGCAATTGATCCTCCACCTATTCACGTTTCGAAAATATACACTTTGAATTGGTCAGCAACTTGTTTTCAGGCACAGACCTGCCTGTTTCCTTTCCATCTGTGCCATCAATAACATGTGCATTGCAAAATAAATATATAGCCAACAAAAGAAGCAATGCTCATTAAAAGTGTTGTTATGGATAGATACAAAGGTACAGACTACAGAGCACTTTAAAGCAGTCGCTGGAGGGGAAACAACACACAGCTGCACATGTTCAAAGTACACTATGAAGGGGGCCATTTCTGTGTTCTCCCACTCAGTTTTCCGGCTAATGAAAGAGACTTGAAAACAAACAGCATAAAGAGCCAAGGGAATTGTTCTGGTTTTTTTCATGCCGTTTGAAGCTGAACTGTTAAGGGGGGTTCACACAACTCTTGCTCTTAACCCTGGTGTCTTCTGCAGTGACTTGAAAGTAGGAATCCTAATGGGGTACTGATAATCCTTATTATTTTCGCTTCTGACTGTCTGTCTCTTTTTACCCTTGCCTCTTCCATTCCCTCTTCCCAGCTAATTTTCTTCCCTGTTAGCGTAAGGTTCTTTGGGCAAACTCCCGTCTTTCTCTTTTTTTCGCTTTCATGTTACTTGATAAAGAGCAATATGTACTGGTGGTCAATGTTCCCTCTAAGCTGTGGAGTCTCGTGAGCAAAAATTCTACTCTGTGAGCTACTGGCATTAAAGCTGTGAGCAAGTGACTTGGCTACTGCATACATTAGTTTGCTCTGGAGCCCTCCTTCCTGAGCTAAGACAAAAGTGTGTGAGCCGGAGGCTAAAAAACTTTGAGCTAGCTCACCCTAACTCAGCTTAGAGGGAACACTGCTGGTGGTGCATGCAATAATAATAGTAATAGTAATATCATCATCATCATCAAAGCACCATGATAATTTAAATGGATGAAGCACGCTGATAAGCCCAGCTCTTGGCCAGTGTTTGGCTTATGGTATCAGAACACCTAAACGTGTTGCACCAGGGTTCAAGATTAAATTCCCTGTGGACTAGGGTTGAGATCCCCCTGATGGGGGTGGGGTTTTTCCTGCTTTCAGATCCCCCAATCCACCGCTGCCCAGCTGGCTGGGAGGGGTAGCCCTGCCCCTGAAGAGCCCTGGCTCACCTGAGGTTCATGGTGCAATGACGTCACCCAGAGGTGATATCATGGTGCCGGGCACGTCATGACCATAGAATTTTTTACCCAAATGCGAGAGCATCCCTTGAATGATGTGCCCAGCACAATGACATCACTTCCAGTGACATCATTGCGGTGTGCACACTTTGCACACGCATCAGAAGATCCTAAGAGCTGGGCTGGAGCCCCTAGCCCAGGACACAGGTAAGACCTGGCAACCCGACTGTGGACCCAGGCTGTTAATGATAGGACGTTTCGGAGGTCATTAAATCGTAGGGTCACCATGTCAGAAGCCACTTGGCGGCATATAACACACACACAAACTAAAATTTTCTTTGTCCTGTGTTGTTGCTAGAGGCAGTGGGTTTTGAGGCAAAGAACAGAGGAGTTTCTGAAAAGCTCTTGCTTTCTGAGATAAGCACTGTGCTCTGTAACATTTCTGAATGGTCATTAACGTACAGTTGTGATCCAGATGCTGCATGTGGTTTGGAATGTGTTGCTAAGACTTTATGTAAAGGCAGCAGTTAAATTGGCTTGACTGTTTCATTCCTTTTTACTGTTTGTAATCCCTGTTGAGTCTGGTCCATGCAAAATGGCGGCTAGGGGTGGACACCACTTTAAGTTCCTCACCCTATTAATGGTTTCCATGTTTGTTTATTTTATTTATTTAAAATATTTTTATCCCCTTTTCCACCCCAACCAGGGTTCATAAGGCGGTGAACATGAAAACATTTAAACAATTGTAATGCAATTTAAAATATAAAATTCAATTAAAAACACGTTAATACATAAAAATGTAAAATTCATTTAAGAACACATAAACAAACGACACTAGAAAAAGGGCCAAAGAACATTATTAGGGGTATGCCAGACAAAACAAAAACGTCCTCACCTACCACTAAAAAACGACAATAGAGGGACACAGGTGAATCCCCCTGGGGAGAGTGTTCCACAGTTCTGGTGCCATGACAGAGAAGGCCCTTTCTCAGGTCACCACCTGTCTAGCCTCTAGCAACTGAAGCAGGGCCTCTGAGGGTGACTGCAGTGAGCGGGTAGGTTCATATGGGAGAAGGTGATCCTTAAGGTATGTTGATCCCAGGATGCACAAGGCTTTAAAGGTCGATAGAAGAACCTTGAATTGAGCCTGGAAGCAACTTGGAGGCCAGTGCAGGTGGAAGAAGACTGAAGTAATATGGTCCTTATGACCTACTCCAGTCAATATTCTGGCTGCAGTATTTTGTACCAACTGCAGCTTCTGGACAGTGTTCAAGGACAGCCCCATGTGGACTGCATTACAGTAACCTAATCTAGATATTACCAGGACATGCACCACAGTGGCAAGATCTTTTCTGTCCAGGAAGGGCCTCAGCTGACTCACCCGTTGAAGCTGATGTAAGGTACCCCTGGACACCACTGCCACCTATCCCAACAGGAGGCCCGGATCCAGGAGCAACTGAAGCTACATTTTGACAGGAATAAGTTTAAGCTCATTAGCCCTCATCCATTCCAAAACTGCCTCCAGGCACCTGTTCATGGTTTTCACAGCATCCCTGGGATTTGCTGGTAGCACAAGATAGATCTGAATGTCATCTGCATATTGGTGGCACCACAGCCTAAATCTCCAGATGACCTCTCCTATCAGCTTTACAGATGGTGAAAAACATGGGGGACAAAATGGAACCTTGGGGAGTCCCAGAGGCCAAAGGCCAAGAGGTAGAGCAGCGGTCCTCCCTCACCACAGCCTGAAACTTACCCTCAAGATAGGACCAGAACCACTGCAGAACAGTGCGTCCCACTCCCTGTCCCAAAAGACAATCCAGAAGGAAACTATGACGGTATCAAAAGCCTGCAAGAGGTCCCGAAGAATTACCAGTCTCTCACTCCCCCATCCATCTCCCAGTGCATGTCATCCACCAGAGTGACCAAGGCCTTTTCAGTCCCATAACCAGGCCTGAAACCAAACTGGAAAGGATCTAACGGTCTGCTTCATTCCAGAATCTCTGAGGTTAGTAAACCACTGCTGGTTCAGTCACTTTGCTCAAGAATGGTACAGTTGAGATTGGATGGTAGTTAATCAGCTCTCCTGGGTGCAGAGTCGGTTTCTTTAGGAGTGGACGTACCACGACCTGCTTCAAGGCAGGAGCGACCATTCTGTCTCTCAGGTAGGCATTTACTGTCTCCCAGGACCAGTTTGCCAGCTGCCCCGCCCCCGGCAGATTTAAGAAGCCAGGAGGGACAATGGTCATACAAACAGGTGGTAGGCAATGCTCCCTCTAAGCTTTGGAGTCTCGTGAGCAAAAATCCTACTTTGTGAACTCCTGGCATGAAAGTTGTGAGCGAGCGATTTGGCTGCTGCATGAATTAGTTTGCTCTGGAGCCATCCTTCCTGAGCTAAGGCAAAAATGTGTGAGCCAGAGGCTAAAAAAACTGTGAGCTGGCTCACACTAACTCAGCTTAGAGGGAACACTGGTGGTAGGTCTCAAAATTCCCAGAATCCTGTCCACAGTATGAATAGTAACTGGACAAATCAGCACCCTAGGACTATCCACTCCTGTTTCTCCTAATGTAGAGTCCAAGTCAGAGCGGATGAGAGAGATTTTAGGGCTTAGCAAAATGATCACAACAGGCTGCCGAGCAGTCCATCTCCTCCTGCTGGTCAGGATCCAATAGGCCCCTGACCACCTGGAAGAGTTCTGCAGGTCTACACTGTGTGGATGCAATGGTAGCTGGAAAATATTTCTTCTTTGCCACTGTCACCACCATGGAGTCGGCTCTAGCCCCCTGTGCCTTGTCAGATTCATCCTGGGCCTTTCTCCACTGTTGTTCTAGCTATTCATGTGCAGAATTTCATTGTCACATTGAATAGATTTTCTTTTATGTTTATTTGAGAAGGAGATGCCCATAGTATGCTAAAAATGTCCTCTCTGCTCATGATGAGCTGCTGCACAGGACTTGCAGCTTGGAAACAGCTGTCATGGGTAGCATTTTAAAGATGCCTCCATGAGTCAGCCATTTAGTGTATGCTCGTAAGTGCACAAGTAAAGTTTTAAATATGATAAGAAGCTGTAAAAGGTGTAATTGGATCTGTAGCCTGTTTTCCTTTTGTGAATAGCAGTCATGGGAAGCGCCAGTCCAGACCAGGGCATAGCACTGAGTTGGAGCAATTAGCTTTTTCTCTGCACCGGTTCCCCACCCTCAAATGGCTCTCTGGAGCTACTGCGAGGCCTGTTGGGGGAATTCATACAGGTGGTATCTCTCTGTTTTCTCCAGTTGGGCAAATGACACTTGGAGGGGGACTGTTTGGGGTCAGGAATATGACAGGGGTCAGGGGAGAAGAGTTAAACCCCCTTTCCTCCTGCCCCATGGTCTCCTGCCCCAAATCCAGGAACCCCTGTGAATGCTATTTATGAAGAAAAAAGGTGCTGGGGATCCAATTGTGGATTTTCCACTGCCTCAGTGGGATAGACCTGTATCATTACAGTATCTTCAAAGAATTCCATAGATGGATATGTTGGGCTCTTCTTTCTGACTCGGAAGAGGTGGTTCCAATTCCTCTGATAAGTACTTTATCTCCAGAAATGTGATCTTAGATACTCAGCTTAGAATAAAAATTCCTTGTCTGTTGTGCTTGCCTCCTTCCCCCTGACCACTGCACACATTGATTAAGTTTCTCCAGAAGGATTAAAATACTTTGTGCATGGTTTACTTCCTCATAAAAGTTAGGAGGCTCAACATGTGCTACAGGAGACCCCACAGCCCAAGACATATTAAGTGCCTTGCAGAGGGCTCGCTAGACCTCAGTTCTGTTCTTGGTTCTGCTTCCAGTGATAATCAACTGGGGTTTGCAATGCATCAGTCTGTTCTTCAGAATGCTGTGTAAATTCTAATTAATTCCTGTAGCATTTCAACAAAGGAGGTTACTGACAAGGCTTCAAGAATGTAAAGGGGAGCTCTTTCTCGTGATAAGCAAGGGATTTGGGCACAAATTGCTCATTTCTATACCTATTGCTGCAAAATGTCCATGGAAATATTATATTTCACTAAACTGACATTCTATCACTTGTTCTGTATAGTGAAATTTAGATCTAAGTAGGTTTTTATTCTCCTGCCAACCTAGCAGTTCGAAAGCAAGAAATTGCAAGTAGATAATTCGGTACCACTTTGGTGGGAAGCTAACAGCATTCCGTGCGCCTTGGCATCTAGTCATGCCAGCCACATGACCACGGAAACATCTCTGGACAGCGCTGGCTCTTCGGCTTGGAAACAGAGATGAGCACCACATCCCTAGAGTTGGACTCGACTGGCTTTCAAGCAAGGGAAACCTTTACCTTTATCTAAGTTTTTATTCCTTTGTGCTCATCGGGTTTGTACTCCTTTCCTCCTAAGCATGTGAGGTCTTTAAAATAATCTTCAAAAACTTGTTGAAAGTTGTCCTCCTGCACGTTGCTTTTTGATCTTGAAAATGATTCTTTAGCATGCTGACAAAAGATTGATGCCTGAAAGGCTGGTTTTTAGGCAGAGTTTTCAAAATACTGCTCCTGGAGTGCACTTAGCAACTGTTAAACGGGAAAGTTAAGTGGGAGCATTAATTCCTAGCTATAGATGTATGCTCATACGCATAGATAGACTTATGTTCAATACAGAATATCAAGAAAAATAATAGCACGCATTATGAGGTGCTTGTATAGACTGTACAAATAGTATAATCTTCAGAGGTTTGCCACTATATTGTAGCTACTAGCAACATCAGATATACATGACAATTTTGGTAATCCTTTTTAATGTACAGTGTGCTTAATGTACAATTGTGCTTTATAACTGTAATCTCGGTTATCCTCCAGGTGGTATTCCAAGTAGGTGAGGCTGAGACCCTAGTCCTTTTCAGGCATTCTGAGGGCTTAAAATGGATATGTGTTGCAGTGGATCATGGCATCACAACAATGTGTTAAACCAGTACATTCATTGGAATGTATATATAGACGTTGTAGGGTTGCCAGGTCCTTACCTTCTGCCAACAGGGTCTCCAGCCCACTCCCCTGGGTCTTCTGGCATGTGCACTTTGCACGCACACTATGACGTCATTGCACCAGGCACATTGTGCAGGGGACACTGTAGCATTTGACCAAAAACTCTATGGTCACCATAGAGTTTTTAGCCAAATGATAGAGTGTCCCCCATCACCTCTGGGTGATGTCATCGCACTGGGCATATCAGGTATGGTGGGGCTCTTTGAGGGGGGGCTCCCCCCGCCAGCCAGCTGGCTCTTGGTGGATTGGGGCCCCTGGAATCAGGGGCACCTCTTCCCCCATTGGGGGGATGGCAACCCTAAAGAGTTGCCTGCCTGCCCCCGTCTCTGTCTCTCTCTCTCCGTCTCTCTCTTTCTCTCTCTCTCTCTCTGACTTTCTCTGTACAATCAGAATTCTGGGTTCTAATCCATGTACATATGCTTGGAGACAGATCTTCTAGCTGAGACCCTGCTTCCGATTTAGAATATCTGAAAAAAAGATTGTTAGTTTCCCATGACCAAGCAGTGATTTTATTTTATTGATCAGATGTCCAGCTGTTGGGTAAACAAGGAAAAATACATTTCTTTAAGTCCATTAATTGTGAGGAAAATAGACATGTGAACAATAGGCATTGTTCCAGACTCTAAGCATAATTGCTTCCAATTAAATTACAACCATACTTGGCAGTAGTGTGTTCAGTTTGTGCTGTCTGATGTCATGATGCAATGGTACGCTCGACATGAGGCAGCTTCCCCCTCATAAAAAGTTACGGTTTTTGCCCCTCCTAGTTTTCTGATCTGAATATCCACATGTCCATAAATTGTCTCAGCCCAGGAAATTCTGTTGCAACCTGTTGAAATGCTAGATTGTTCATAATTTATTTTGATCTTTCTGTAGGTAAAAGCCACTGGACAGGAACTCTTCCAGAAAGTTTGTGACTTACTTCAAATTAAAGATCCTCACTTCTTTGGTATCAGTGTTCTAAAAAGTAAGGAAAGATTCTGTGGAAATATTATATTCTAATGAATATACAGGAAATTATATGAATATGGTAAAAAAATTTGGCAGAGATCTGTAGCATTGGATCTGTGTCTGTGCTTCAGAAGTTATTCAGGGGAATATGGTCAATAACTCAGAGTATCATTTAAAATCATGTTGATATCCTTTGATCACTGATCTGTGAGTGCACCTATTCAAGTGGGGGAGGGGAGATGCTTTTAAATGTATTTCATTTTTTCCCAATAGCTCTTCTTTTAATCATTTTTTGCACCATTAGATATAGTTTAGTATTAGTTGTACAAAAGACACTATTTACAAGGCTATATGCTCTAAAGATCAAAGTCAACTAATGTTTTTGTTAACCAAATTCTGGAAGAGAAGAATTGTTACAATGAATATTATTTGATGTAATCCATATCACCGTGATACTCAGAGGGCACAAATGTTATTATATGACCCACACATAAATCCCTTCAGGCATAGAAAACAGAAAACCTGCGGGAGAAAACAGTCAGCTGAAATGTTGATGTCCAGTTCTGTCAGGGTTCTACAGGGACAGGAGAAGTGGAACAGCCTATTATTTGTTTCCCTCTTTCTCATTATAAGGGTTTCTTTCAAATGAATTACTCTCCTAGAAGTTTTTACAAAGATAAACAGGTTTGGGATTTTACAGGTATTTACATTAACAGCATATGCTTAAGCAAGCCAAGGATATTTTAGCTACCCACCCCTACTTAGGGCTTTTTCATACATAAATCTGGCTGGCTCTCCTGACCACACATTCAACACAAAAGCCCTAGCTAATGACAGTTCCATGAAGGATGCATTTATTTTGGAACAGTTATGTCCATCCCAAAAAGTTGGCCTTTGAGATGGGTTGCAACAAGTTAAAAACAAACAGAACAGACTACCACATTTTTTAAAAAAGTGTAGTGGATAGAGTGTCAGACTAGAATTTGGGAGACAGGTTTGAATGCTTAATATGCCATGGACCTTCGGCCAGTCACCCGCTCTCAGCCTAACCTAACTCACAGTGTTGCTGAGAGAATAAAATTGAGGAGAAGAGAATAATATGAGCTGTTTTAGGTCGCCATTGGGGAGAAAGGCAGGATATAAAAGAAGATAAACAAAATTTAAAGATGGTGGTCCCAGACTATACAACAGTTTGTGTGTAAATGAGACTTTGAATATGTGGAGGTTGGGGGGGGGGAGCAAATGGACTTAAACATAACTCATTTCTACATGGGATGACCATCTGCAGAGTTGTTATCAGTGCCTCATGATACTTAGCAATAGAAAAGAGTAAGAGTCCAGTAGCACCTTAAAGGCTAACAAAATTTGTGGCAGCAGGGTATGAGCTTTCATGAGTCCCTGCTGAAGTTATCTGAAGAAGTGAGCAGTGACTCATGAAATCTCATACCCTGCCATGAATCTTGTTAGTCTTTAAGGTGCTACTGGACTCATGCTCTTTGCTGCTGCTACAGGCAGACTAACATGGCTACTCATCTTGATCTCTCTTCATGATACTTTGTTTCTGAAATAAATTCTAAGGACTTCAGTTGGCCTGGAAGTCATCTGTTTCTATTTGGAAACCTTCCTCCCTAATCTTAGCTGTGCACTTTGAAGCAGGAAACACACTCTGCGTAAGTCTCAAAAGGGAGTATTTCACTGGCTGAGCTTTGGCAGTATGGATTATGAGGCTGAATCCTGGCACAAATTAAACCTATGTGTCACAAATCTCTCCTTGTATATAATTGTGAAGTGGGGTGGCACTTTCTGAACATTCCACATGCTCCTAAATCAGTTGGCTCCATGATGTGTCACTCAGAAGCTGTCCCTATCCACTGGCTGCATTGCCTGAGTCCCTCCTCCAACATTCCAAACAGTTTGCTGTTCCTCTCCCCCCCCACCCAGTTGGAACACAGAGGTCGTTTGCATATGTGGCCTGATTGGCCTTTGCCTCTAACATTCTAAACAGTTTGCTGTGGCTGTTGGGAGTCATTGAATGTGTCCTGAGGTAAAATACATCTCCCAATCTTCCCTTAAACAGTAACTGGAGTTGCCAATCTCCCTGTGGGGCCTGGAGATCTCCCAGAAATCACCGTGTTCCCCAGTCACAGCACATCATTCCCCCTACAGAAAATTTCCCAGCTATTACAACTGATCTCCAGATGACTGAGATCAGTTCTCCTGGCAACAATGTCTGCTTTGGCAGTGGACTCTATGGCATTATACCCTGCTGAAGTCCCTACCCACCCCAAACCCTGCCCTCCCCAGGCTCTACCCCTCAAATCTACAGGTATTTCCCAACCCAGAGTTGGCAACCATGTAATTGGCTATGGAGCCACTTTCCAGACCTGTGGAACCCAGAAAACATGACATAGGAGGAGGTGCCTTTCTACCTTCGCTGCCACTGCATAGCCACAAATTAACATAAGCCAACCTCCAGGCGGCACCTGGAGATCTCCAGCTCTTACAACTGATGTCCAGATGACCAAGAGCAGTTCTCCTGGAGAAAATGGCTGCTTTGGCCAGTGGATTCTGGCATTATACACTGCTGAGGTCCCTCCCCACCCCTTCCCTCCCCAGGCTCTCCCCCTCAAATCTACAGGTATTTCCCA